ATATTCTTATGATGTATGTGCATGTTAAAAAGGAAAGAATAATGTGGAGTGAATGAGAGATTTTCGAGTTTTTATGCAATATATTTTTTGATGATGTAAGGTTAAAGTCAATTACTAATTTCTTATTTACAATAAGATTACATATTGAGATTGTTTACTTCATTCCTAAGAAAATGTTGTATTTATGCAATATGTAAGTAATTTTGTAGTGTTGAATAAGGAAGAAATGAAAAAAAATAATTATAAAAAATATATTTTGTTATTTAATTTTTAATTTATACTAATTTATCTTAACTTTATACATTATATTTAACTTATACAACACTTTTTTTTTCCTTTCATCACTGTAATTTTTTTAAAAAATTTTGTCCTTATATTTTCTTGTCTCAATATTGTGTTTCTAATGTAATACTATTATTGATGTGACATATTATGCTTTCATGATAAGTAATAATGTGACACTATATTAACATAATATTAATAATGTGATATTATGCTGACTTAGTATATAATGACGCTATCATGATGTCATCGACATGTGATAACGTTACCGGTAAAAGTATTTGTTATAAACTTTAATGTCAAGAATTATAAATTTAATATTTATATTTTATAGGGATGATTCTCAAATAAAAAAAATTATATAGACAAAATATAAAAGTGCTAAATTATATGAACAAAAATTATATTTAAAATATAAATTTATGGTAAAAAAATATAATGTTTTAATTTTCACTTAAGTTTAATTTTTTAGTTAACATGCTTTTTTATATATCGACTTCATTCAAGGATCCAAATAAATATATTTTTTTTCTATTTATTTTATATCATTTTTATTTTATTTTTTTATTTCTATATTTACTAATTTTTCCCTTTATTATTTTAAACCAGAACGTTAATAAAAAGCACAACATCATATCATATGTTAATTTACTATGCAGTAAATATCTACTATGGTATAATAGTTAGAGATATTATTTTACTCTTATAAAAGCATCCTTAGAAAAGAGATATACCTTAAAAAAACAATTATATCTACAAGCGTGGGCTTGATGTTTTAAGTTGTGAGTTCGGTTAACAGTGAAAGTGAAAGAGGGTTGATAGAAGGGATTTACAAAGGGAAGAATGAGCCATTCGGGCATGGAGGAGGAAGAAGTACCGGACGTTTCATGCGAGCTGGAAAATGTTCAAGGTTTAGTGGACGCCCTTACCGCCGTTCGGTGGAAGCGCCAGCAGGTAATTATAATCCCCTCCTGCTCCTTCATTTTCCCCAACCCACTCCTTATCTAACCATAAGCTACCTAGGACGCTGTGCTCGAGTTGTCCGAACATGGCATCGTTTTGATCGTCGAAGAAAGCGGTTGCCTCCAAGCCAAGGTGTATCTCAAACGAGAGGTACTTACCAATGTTTTTTTTTTTTTAATAATAATAATAATTATTATTATTATTATTTTTGCACCATTGTTCTAAGTATTTGCTTTATATTAATCTGAGTCGTAAGTTAAATAAAGTCTGACCAAAATTTGTTTTTGTTAAGGATCAAATTCGGATGCTTTTCGAGAATATTATCTAAGCCTTTCAACTCAGCTCTGTTTTATTATTTTTTATAAATTGTATATTATAATTTCTGAATTTAGGGGAGCATGGCATTTGCAGCTATTCATTCGCTATGATTACAATGCACGGGGACGACCTCGTTTTGGAGTGAGTTTGGGGCATTTGGTGGATTGTTTGAATGCCTTCACGGTTCCTGGCCAATCAAGCGTTATTCAGATTCAATACCCAGGTTCTGATATGCAGCTTCTTCTCAAGTATGTAACTAACTTTTCCCTTCCCTGCTTTTATTTTCAATCCATGAGTTTCTGGAGATTGTTGCTGGCACTACTTTGATAGGTAGAAATGTTAGCACATAGTAAAATGCGCATGCACGCACAGTCACACAGTTTAACACTTACTTGCATTAGGGAGGAAAGAGTACAAGAAAATTATAGTGTAGCAGATAGTAAAACTCTCAAAGAACACTGCCTTTTTCACTTGTCACGCACATGGCAACTGGTAAACCTTCTATTTCCAATTAATCTCCTTTTTGACTTGAATTGAACCATGTTCTAATTAGAATGTAATCCACGTTTTACGAACTCGCCAAATATTAACTCATAAACATTATGAATGGTTTGCTTGTTTGCATCAAACAAGAAACTCACTGCCGTTAGCTGTATATTTATACTGATTAATGGTAATCTGACTTAGTTATTACCCTAAACCTGTATGGTTTCAAACATCTTAGCCAAAACGTGTTTAATTTTGCAAGTTTGAATCAAATCAAGTGAAGAGAGGCAGGGGTAGTGATAGAACCCTATTAGAGAATGAAGGCCCAAATGGTCAGCTTGCAAGTCAGCAGAATAGGCCCACTGTTTGGGAGAGTCTACTTCAGGAAGAATAAGAGGAAGCAAGGAAGGAATGATGAGGTGGCACTGTGGCAGAGAGAGAGAGAGATATGTGGCATGGTAACTAAATGACGGGGTGCCACCCTTTTCCATCAAAGGATGTTGCTGGCCTGTTCATTTCTGAGGTGGTTAAACTCCATGGCTTACCCAAGTAAATTGTTTCTGATTGAGATAAAGTATTCCTCAGTCATTTTTGGATGGAATTGTTCAAACAAGCAGGCACCAAGTTGAAATACAGTTCAGCTTTCCACCCCCCAAAGTTATGGTCAAACAGAGATGACCAATATATGCTTAGTTGATTATTTAAGACCTTTTGCTGGGGAGCAACCAAGGACCCTGGACAAAATGATTGTATTGGGCTGAATTTTGGTTCAACACCAACTTTAATGTTTCCATTGGCATGACACCTTTTGGAGCATGTATGGGAGAGATCCCCCTCCCATCATGTGTGGCCAAGTAATTGCGTCAGCTGTAGAGGCTGTTGACAACATGTTGGGGATAGGGATGCCATTTTAGAACAATTACATCACAAGTTGGATTGAGCTCAACAACGTATGAAGCAACTTGCCTTTAAAAGGAGAAGGGACATCCAATTCTAGGAAGGTGATTTGGTTTATTTGTGAGATCAACCTTATAGATGGCATTCCTTGACGCATTGTAGAAATGAGAAACTTAGCCCTTGGTTGTATGGCCCATTTGAAGTGTTGAAAAAGGTGGGTTCAGTAGCATATAGATTGTTACTATCAGATACCAGCCAAATACGCCCAGTTTTGCATGTCAGCAAGCTGAAACAGCCATCCCTGCTACCTCTAAACCAGACTCTCCTTCCTCCATTGACAGCAGATTGGGAGTTGCAACCTCAATTGGAAGATAGCCTTGCTCTCTGCTACAATAGCCAGGGTGCTACTGAGGTTAAGGATGTGAAAAAATCCAAACTGAACCAATCCTTATTATAAAATCCAATCTGTCTTGTGAAAAAACTTGAACTAATCCTCTTTATAAAAACGGTTTAATTAACTAATTCGTTTTTACAAAGTGGATTGGTGCAGTTTGGTATTTTGAAAAAACGATCCATATATTAGTATAAAGTGTATAATCACACCGAATCAAATTGATCCAATTTAAAAAAATCTGATCCATTTTTTTAAAAATCAAACTGATTCATTTTATAAAAAAATGGTTTGGTTAATTGATCTGTTTTTACAAAGTGGGTTAATTTGGTTTGGTTTGGAATTTTTTCGATCCATGAACAACTCTAGTTGAAGTGCTAGTCAAGTGGGTAGACCTTCCAGACTGAACGAACTCCTGAGAGTCCTTTGAAGCTTTACAGAAGACCTTTCCATCCTTTCCTCCTGGGGACAAGATGAAAGCTTTGTTATTTTTTGGTGTGGGGACGGCCAGTTGTTGAGAAGGTATATATAAGGTGAGATAATAAGTGGGGATAAATGACTATAAAAGATACTATTAATAGGTGCGCTCAACAAGTAGTTAGAAGGTTAGAAAGGCAGTACTTTCTGTTAGGAGGGTTTGTTCCATAGCCTTGTTCTGAATAACAGTTCTTGTGTCAATTTTTATCCAATTTCTTCATTCTTTCTTGCTCTTATATCAGTTGAGTCTATCACTGTTGTACATGTATGTTCATAAGAACATCGTCAAACTCTTAGCATTTCAACAGTTGGTTGGTTTGGGATTGAATCAAAATTTAGTTATTGGAGAAAAAAATTGAAATCTATAATGAAGTTAGGGGATGAAAGATGCATTTTTCTTTTCTTTGATAATAGCACTGAAAAAGCACACTAGCAGAATTCTGCAAACAGAAGACCAACCTAGAAAGTATAACAATAACAAATGTAAACAATGAGAAAGGGATGTAACAGATAATTAGATGAGTGCGCACACAGGACATTACATGGTTTATTACATGCCTATGCCCATCCAGAGGATAAAAATAATTTTGCTGTGAAAGAAGAAATAGTACAAGTTAAAAACTAGTGTATAAATCCTAACAATGTCCAAAGACCTTCCATTCACTTAATCAAAGGATAACTTCTACGTTTCTTGCTTTTCATAATTTTCTTGGTCAAGTATGAACTTCTGGTTGAATCTGTTATTCCATTGTGTGTGGTAGCCATAGTGATGGTTTATTTTATTGAATAGGATTCGTCATACCATAATTTTCTTTAGGGATCTACAAGCAAACAATTTCGTAGAATTGTCTTGTCTGATTGTCTCTGACTTAAATGTTCTCTCTCCACTTCTTTAGATCTGTAGATTCGCTGGATGCCAGTATTTGTGCAGAGATCAGGACAAGAATTCCAGATACAATTGCATGGGACTACAATTTTGAACCTGCAGGGACAAACCCTTTAACCTTTACTGTTAAAGTATGCCATAATTTTCATATATCAAATCCAATGCTACTTTCAATGACTTATTATCCTATAAAAGTCCTTTTCTTTACACTATGCATTCATAAAATAAAAATTGTTGCTTATGAATTGTGCAATATGCAATCAAATAAGTTGGTGTCATTTTCAATGAATCCTTTCAGATGATAAGTCTGGTTTTATGCTTTTGCCGTTCTGAATATATTCTATGGACAATACACGTTTTCCTAAAATTGATTCTTGAGAAAAAAAACACATTAATGTTAGCTGATGTTTTGATTTTTAATCTACACCCAGTCCGCAGCACTGAAGGAAGCCATTGAGGATCTTGAGTGGCCTGGATCAAGCATCCAGATTATTCTACAGCCCGATCCTCCTTCTGTTACGTTGAGAGCTGAAGGACATGGAGACTTGCAGGTTTTTATTGTTTTCAACTCAAATGATGAGATGCTAGTTGTTGCTTTGAAATTTGAATTGATTATATGCACACACCTTTGTCTTTCAGATAGATTTCTTGTATTACGCGAATTCCGAACTCTTGGTAGCATTTCAGTGTGATCATCCGGCTTCTTTCAGGTTTTATTTTTATTTTTATTTTTATTTTTTATTTTTTATTTTAAAACTATTATGTATGTGTTAATTGTCGTTTCCTTGTTACTTTATCTGTCATTTCTATGCATATTGTTAACAGGTACAAATATAAATTTCTCAGAGCAACAACTTCTAATATGCCTACCAGTGTTATTAAAGAAAATAGAGGAAGTAAGTTAAGCATTGGGAGAGGTGGAATGTTAAAAGTTCAGCATCTGGTTTCAATTGCCAAACCATCTATGTCACACTCTTATGTCGATTCTGTAAGCTATCAGCAACCAGGTCGGATAGCTCATATTGAGTTCTATGTGAAACCAGAGGAAAGTGAGTAAACCAATGATTATTAGTTAGTGTCAAGGAAGTCATTTTCCATACATTTGTAACAAAATCTGAAAAGTTGAGAAACTAGAAAGTTACCCTCAAGTTTAACTCTGAAAAAGAAAATATCCTTCCTCTAGGAGCTCTTAAACAAATTTACAAAATGATTTGTTTTCAGAATGTAGTTCAAAGAGGTACTTTTGCAGCAAATCCCCGTTTAATCGTAGTTTTAGATGGAGCAAGCTGTCTTGGTAAGGCCATCTAAACTTCAAATAGAATCATGGCAATGTTGCTCCGATTTCAAAAGCTTCAATGCAAAGCTTAGTTGTTTTATATTGCTTTGATTTTGTTTTTGCGAGAGAAATGAAGACCGGGATTGAAAGTCTACAAATTTTTTGTTATGATTTAAAAGGATATGATATTTCCTTTTATAGATTCAAGTTAACATAATATATATATATATATATTTTTTTTCTTTTTAATTTATTAATGTACATTAATTTGAATTAATGTAATGTAGTATCAAATATTTTTTAAATTTTATAAAAATTTGTATCATTGGTCTATTTATAACTTTTAATTTAATGGTTGAATTAATGAATTGAGTTTTTGAGTAGAGTAATTTTATCAAGAGTTATTTATGGAGTAAGTTAATCTTTCCAATCTAATATTTGTCTTATTTTTTGGACCATAATTTGAAAAGTGACAAAAATTACCTAATTGTTCTTGTTTAACTATGTAGTCTTGAAATGATGCTTCTAGGATCGATTTGTGTCCATGTTTAAATAATGTTTAATTAGTGAAAGTCATGTCCCAAAATTCATTGAATTTGCATCTAATAAAAAAATTATTGAATATGTCATTTTATTAATTTGACATCATGGTGTTAATAGATTTTGATCCTATTATATATTATATCACGTTATTTGAAATACACACATATATATAAATATATGAGAAAGGATCCACTTATTCCAAAAATGTGTTTTGATATACTTATTTCATTTAATAATTTATGTTTTATATCGAATTTCAATGATCTAATTATTAAATTAAAAATTCTTAATGTGTAGATTAAGTATACAAATCTTTATAAATTTGAAAATTATTTAATACTCTGTAGATACCCAATTTCGTCCGGGGGACATACAAATAAAGAAATGGATGTCTGTTATCAAGGAAAAGAACACTTAAAGCAGGAAAACAACAAGACAGGACATCAAAGGGTCGAAAGCCCAAAACAACCAGTTTTAGTGGTCCAGAACGGGCTGCTCTAAAATCAGAACGGGCTGTTCCCGAATTTGGAACGGGTCATTCTAAAATTGGAACGGGCTGTTACGAGCCACTTAAAAGGCTTAAAAACTTTTAGTTGGAATGGGCCCTTCCGGACCAAAACGGGTTGTTCCAAACAAATCAAAATGCCTAAAAACTTGGTCTGGAACGGGCCGTTCCTAAACCAGAACAGGCTATTCTAAACTATTAAAAAGGCCTAAAAACCTAGTTTGAAACGAGCCGTTTTAAGCAAGGGAACATAGTGTTAATCTCATCTACGGAACGGGCAGTTCTCAGTTTAGAACAAGCCGTTCCCAGGTGCGTGATTAACACACAACGTTTGGATCCAGAACGGGCCGTTCTGGTTTTGGAACGGGCCGTTCTAATACCTTTCTGATGCCTATAAATAGACAACTTGGGCACAGTTCTCAGGACTCTAAATTTCGTCCAGACTTCTTAGAGCTCGAAATTTCTCTCTTTTTTTTCTCTCTCTCTTTTGTATTTCTTGAGATTTTGAGCTCGTTCAAGAGGTATTTCAATTAATCTTTTTCTATATCTTTTATTTCTCATCTTTATCTTTATCTTTTATTTATAACAAATGCAATCATGTAAATATTTTAGGGTTAGTCGTATAATTTAAATTTTAAATATGTAAATAAATATTAATAAAGGGAATTTAATATTTAATTTATTAATTCTTATCATGTTAACTTCATCATAGGGTACCGATTAAAGGCATTGTAGGGGTGTTTAATACCTTCCCTATACGTAATCGACTCCCGAACCCAATTCTATTTATCAAGGCCATTATTGGAATTTTAAAAACCTTTTATTTTTTCAATATTTTGAGTAAAATATTGGTGGTGACTCCATGAACCTATTTTCAAAACCATTAATTAAGGATTAGTCTAGTGTCCGGGCATTCCTTAATTAATGAGACTTTTAAAAGGATGTTTAAACCATAGGTCGTAAGATCTGAAATTTTTGGGTTGCGACAGATGGCAACTCTACTAGAGACATTTTAAGAGGGTTAGGCCCATATAAATGATGAAATAAGCATTATAAAAAATAATAATTTAAATATTTTTTTCCTTTATTTTGTTTGTTTTATTTGTTTGACTTTCATATCTTTTTGCCTGTTTAAATTCAACACTTGTTTGGAATAAAAAATTGTACATAAACCTTTGCACACAATAGTTCCCCCTACACCCGGGGGCATGAGAGTATTAAACATAGGGAGTGGTTGACGTATGATTGACCCAAGTTTGGCCTTGGAGCCTGCGAGCCTTGTCGAAAATAACACTCAAGGTGATAACTGGTTACTCTAGCCCGAAATACTACGACAGACCTTAGAGTTTTCCAAGTGACAGTGACAGAGATATTGGGTCCCTATAATGGGGGCACCTTGGGGGCCTTAAGACCAGTGAGATTAGAACTGTCCTATACAATGCACTTTTCTTGCAGGGACCACAAACCAAGAATTTAAACGTGATTGTTCGCGGGTGTACATTTGTTTGAGCATATGTGTATTGCATTTGTTTGTGTTTATTTATTTCTAATTGATAAGAATTACAAACAAATAAATGCAGGAGCCATCCTATAGGGAGCCACCGACACTGGTCCCACACCTGGAACCAGGTCAATGCTGAACTCCATCTCCCTAACAGGAGGCAACCCAAGCACCCCATCAGGGAACACCTCAGCAAAGTCTCTCACCACATCTATATCAGCTAAGACCCTCTCAGTCTCCACACTCATAGCAGCAAGAAGAAGACAACACTCTGCTCCATCTCTCAGCAATGATTCAGCTCGACCAGCTGAAATCAACAGTTCATCCTCCACCTGAGGAAAAATCAGCCTCCTATTGGCACAATCTATAAGGAAAGTACAGCTGGAAGATGAAGACAAGGCTCTGTTCCTTTTGAACTCACTACCAAGGAACTTTGAACACTTCAAGGATGCCATTCTTTATGGCAAAGAATTGGACATTACTCTGGATGAAGTGCAAACTTCAATTAGGACTAAAGAGTTGCAAAGACAACAAGATAACAAGACAGATGATAATGGGGAGAGTTTGAATGTGTCAAGAGGCAGAAGTGAGAAAAAAGGGACAAAGTCAGAAAGGAAAGAAAGCTAGATCAAAATCTAAAATTGGTGACAGGTCAAAATTCAAGTGCTTCCACTGTCACAAGGTTGGTCATTTCAAGAAAAATTATCTTGAGAGGAACAGGGACCAAAAATCATCAGCTGATTCTACTGCATAGCTGCAATATCTGATGGCTATGAGAGTACTGATATTCTTGTAGTCAAAACTTAACAGACACAAAAAGAATGGGTTATGGACTCAGGGTGTTCTTATCACATGTGTCCCAAGCAGGAGCCATCCTATAGGGAGCCACCGACACTGGTCCCACACCTGGAACCAGGTCAATGCTGAACTCCATCTCCCTAACAGGAGGCAACCCAAGCACCCCATCAGGGAACACCTCAGCAAAGTCTCTCACCACATCTATATCAGCTAAGACCCTCTCAGTCTCCACACTCATAGCAGCAAGAAGAAGACAACACTCTGCTCCATCTCTCAGCAATGATTCAGCTCGACCAGCTGAAATCAACAGTTCATCCTCCACCTGAGGAAAAATCAGCCTCCTATTGGCACAATCTATAAGGATGCGATTGGCAGATAACCAATCCATCCCTAAGATTATGTCAATATCCACCAAAGGTAAACAAATCAAGTTCATCTTATACCTCTTCTCATTCACAACAATAGGACAGCCAGCACAGCTCAGAAGCAACTACATTCAAACACTAAGAGTTCCCCATGCGGAAATGACAACTGTGGGATAGAAGAAACGATCAAGAATGAATGAATTTTTGCTTCTAGGGAATTACAACAAAACCCAATTGAAGAATAAAGGCATTGCATGACAAAAACCCCCTAGGACGAAAACCCATAATGGACGTCCTAGGCAAAAATTAGGGTAAAGGAATCAAAATCCCGATAGGATACATCCTATGCAAAAGTCAAGGATATATATATATAAAAGCGATGTCTGCTCGAGTTGAAAACTGAAAAGCAGCTTGAGTATTCCCTATACAAACAAGAGTCCACAAAGGTTTGACTCTGTACTACAAACACCAAGCAAGTGGAAGGGTTTTTCTGAGGTAATCAAGTCATCCATGACTCTCTAGGGGGCAACCTCCTTCTATCTCTCTGTGTATGAATCACGAACTCGGGACATGCCCGGACTTCGAGCTTTGCTAAAGGGGCACGTGTAAATTGGAAGTACTATTTTAATGTCATAACATTCTTTCATTTCTCTTCTCCCTTTTATCTACTCTAAGCCTTGTCAACAAACCTTAAATGAACAAGTACATTTGAAATAAGGACGTCATTAGAAACAATGACTTAATACGCAATAAGGAACACATAAAGATTAATCAAATTTGGCATGACTTGTGGATAAAAGTCCAAGCAAAACCAGTGCAAGGGGCACCCCCTCTTTATTGAAGGAATGAAAATGTTGCAAAGACAAAAGCCCCGCAAGAAACTCATTGAGAGGGCAACACAAAGATTAGGGCAAGGTCGATCCGCTAGGATACCTATAAACAAAAAGGGTAGCCTAGGCAAAAAGTGAGGATCGAAAAGAAAATGTCCGCTAGGGAACACATCTCAAGTAACCTAGGCAAAAGTTAGGACAAAGCAGCATCCCGAGTTAGGCAACTCGAGGAGATCACTTAATCAATGCGCAATCTCAAGTCATCACTTAAAATTTGAAAGGAATACTAAGCTAACGTGCAAAATGGTTTCCTTACTTTGAATGTGCTTGTTCATCAACCTAAATACTAGCTAACCTCGGCTAGCCATTCTTCTAAAAAACCCTTTTAAAAAGAAAAAAAATCTTTTCTAACAACTTTTTGAAAAAAAAAAATACAAACATCCCTTCTTTCTTTTCTCTTGACCCTTATGACATTAAAATTGGTACTGAAAAGATACACGGAAAATGCACGGTGAATACTCAT